AAACCCTTAACCCATAAACCCCTACACCCCTAAACCCAAGACCCGTAAACCCCAAAACCCCGGACCCCGAAACACAAACCCCTAAAGCCCTATAAACCCCGAGCCCCCGAAACCACAAAACCCTAAAACCCTCTAAACCCCGAAACTACTGAAGCCCCATGAACCCTAAAGCCCTAAACCCTGAACCCCTAAACCCCTAAACCCTAAACCCCTATAAACCCCTATATAGCCCCATAAACCCCTTAAGCCCTAAACCCCATATAAACCCCGAAGCCGAAACCCTAAACCTCAAACCCCTATAAGCCCCATGAACCCCTTAAACCCCTTAACCCCCAAACCCTGAACCCCTATAAACCCCTATAGCCCCATAAACCCCTTAAGCCCTAAACCCCCAAACCCTGAACCCCTATAAACCCCTATAGCCCCGTAAACCCCTTAAGCCCTAAACCCCGTATGAATCCCGAAACCCTAAACCCCTATAAACCCCTATAAGCCCCGTAAACCCCTAAAGCCCAAAAAAAGGCGGCACTCCTGGTTAATGCGGCTCGCAATCTGCCGCGCGCGGATCTCCAGCGCCGACTCCGAGGTGGACCTGAGCCGAGCGTCTGATAAAGTAGGGAAATCCTAAACGTCTTCGGTTCTATGGCCGCCAGTCAAGGACCACTCAACTGGGTTCAGGGTTTAGGGTTTAGGGTTTAGGGTTTTCGGGTTTGGGGTTTTAGGGGTTGAAGGTTTAGGGATTTAGCGTTTTGGGATTTAGGGTTTTGGGTTCAAGGCTTATAGGTCCGAAAGGTAAGAAAAGGAGTCCAGAAGGCTTAGGAGTCAGGTTTTTTGGTATGCTTGTTTTTTTCCGGTATGTTTTGGGTGCTGGAAAGGGGTACTAGAAGGTTTCGGATTCAGATTTTGGGGTTTAGGACTTGGGATTTGGCGTTGAGGGGTGCTGTGGGTTGAGAAAGGGAGTCTCGACGAGCGTGTGGCTGGGGTTCGTGGGTTTTGGTTTAGGGTTTCGGGTTCAGGGTTTAGGGTTCAGGGTTCAAGGTTGAGGGTTCAGGGTTTAGGGTTGAGGGTTCAGAGGGATTAGGGTTTAGGGTTTAGGGTTTGGGGTTTGTGGTACTATTGTAAGCTTCTTTCCGGGGCTTATCTCGGGCAATCCAAGCGACTGGGGCAAAAAATGCATGGCAATCTGCATGAAGACCGCCTTGAGGGTGCTGTTGTACATCTCGATGCCCGGCAACTTCTGCAGAGATGGATCTTGGGCAATCTCGTCAAAGGCATCTGAGGACTGCGGTACTATGAAGCCTTCGGTCGCAATGACAGGAAGTACATGACACGACGACGATGCCCGATAGGCTTGCAGCAACCACTCGGCCACGCAAGAGGTGCTCAGGCAATCGGTCGTGCAGACCAAGATCAGGAACAACGGCTTTGCTGAGCCAAGCTCTCGTCGACTATTGATTCTATCAGCGGAGCACAGCACCTTTGGAAACATGTTGGTGGTGGCGAAGACATGCTGCGAGATCAAGTGGCGCAAGACGTGTGCTGATGCAATGGCCTCCGTATCCTCGAGGTTTGCAAGGATCACACAGTCGGAGTCGAAGTCGCGAGAGGCACGCTGGGAAAGCCGTCTTCCTTGCTTACCTGCGGTTAACCTCGGTTCTTGTGAACAAATGTATTTTTTTGAGTTACCAGAAAAAAGAAACCATATAATTTACTATAGAGATCCCTCTTATGGTAACTTAAACTAAATCCCTTAACAAGAACCCAGCAACTGGCCCAGAACTTCCAAGAGCTCCTTTTCCGGAAGCTTGGAGCTCAAACTCACGCTCTTCACCGTCCTCAACCATTGAAAAGGGCATCTTCAGGGCTTTTTCGGTTTCTTAAGCGCCTCTTTTCGAGGCCGAAAGGTGCAGGGTTTAGTTTAGAGCTCAGGATTTTAGGGTTTAGGAGTTTAGGGTTTGGCATGGTTTAGCGGCTCATGGGTTAAAGGTTTGGAGCTGAGTCCTCAACCATCTCAGGGTATCGGTGATGTCCGCAATGCCAAAGCCGTAGGTTGCGAGCTCAGCAATATCAGGCACTGTTCCCTCGTAAGCATCCTCGGCTGGAAGCTCATCTGGATCATTCCCTAGTTTTCGCTTCGCAAAGGAGCATTCGTTCCTTGTCAACCAAGGTGGTGCAATAGCCACCCTCGCTGTAAGCACCAGTACCATTACGAGTAGCATCATGTGTGCTATTGCTCGAATTCCCATAGGTGTTGCTATGACCATTCCCCCAGATGCAAAACCATCTTCCCAGGTCTTGATACATGTCAGGGTTTAGGGCCAGAACATCCAAGGATCGATGAAATCCATGGATGGCAGGTAAAACTGCGGCAGCATCACCAAGGTGGTGTCTAAGCCACCAAGCCTGGCATCAATGTCGAAACTCTAGTTGAGGCTTAATGCTTAGAACGCATCATCTACTACTAGGTTTGGCATCAGTAAACGTACCAGTACTAGTACCACTATATACTAGTAGTAGTAGTTGTAGTAGTAGTAGTCGTCGTCGTCGTCGTCGTAGTAGCAGCAGGAGTAGTAGTAGTAGTAGTAGTAGCAGTAGTAGTAGTAGTAGTAGTAGTAGTAGTAGTAGTAGTACTAGTA